TAAGAAAGAGATCTGTGACAAAAAGAGAGAAAACCGTGCTGAAAATGAAAATCGTGACAAAAATGAAAAAGAATATCGGACGGATTATCAGAGAAAATCGTGACCAAAAAAAAGAAAGAATATGTGGGGTGCACTTAATTGAGAGGACACAAAAGAACCAAACCGATCATTCCGAATTAAGAGAATCGCCAAAACGGTGTTACGAGTGTAACAGTACTCAATTCAGATGTTTGTACCAATGATAGTGAGTTGGCGAACTTGCAAAAAACTTGCTTGCAATCATCACAGTGTTTGTGGTGCGACATAATGGACTACGTTTTGCCATCAATCATAGAAGGAGAAGAGATGCCACCCAAGAGATTCAAGAAAGAAGTAAAAAACTTCCAGTAGATAATGTACAACAAATTCGCCTTTATCCCATCCAGCAGGAGCGGCTGAAACTCAGAAAATGGATGGAAACACGATGAACATACAATTAATGGCTTATCGTGGTTGAAAAAGAGGGTGTCAAATGGGAAAAGAAAAATTTACGGGCACGGTGTCTCAGCTACTTACTAAACCAAGCAACTCAAACTCGAAATCAAAGCGACTTAGCTAAATTCATCATTCGTCACATAATTCCAACTCGAAATCAAAGCAGTTTAGTTATTAAGGTTAGGTGGGGGGAGGATTAGCACTGAAAGATAGGGATAATTGTTATAATTCATATGTATAGTGGAGACTGGAAGATAGGGATAATTGTAGTAGTAGGTAGTAGTAGTTTAGTGTGTATTATTATGTATATAGACTGGTATTTCTAGTCATGTTTTTTTGTCACGGGCATGAGGCGCCAATAAATTGATATCAGGATACTGGTTTGTGTCGCGTGGAGTGCTGGCATGGAACTTGAAAGGAACAACTGTACTGTGGAGTTTTCGCTAAAAAAATGTGATCAGCGCAGAATTGCATCTTCATCTATAAAGTTCTTCGATTCGGTACCGAAAGGAATTAAGTTGTTTTTGTAGTTCCTCCAACTTGCGATAACTCCTCGCTTAGATTTTTTCTTTTATATGTACACATGATTAACTTTGATCATATATGATATATATACCTCTGATATTCGCTGTAGCTCTTTCAAGTAAATTGACGCAACAATTTCTTACTGTAATTACTAAGTTCATTTCTCTTGTAATTAACAAAATTCGAATATTTGTGTTCATATTATTGAACAAACGCAGAATGAATAACGATAATAATGGCATTAGCGTTATACGTATTTGCTATACATGTTTTTTTTAAGTTTATTAATAGCATTTCAATCAGATAAAAAAATGAAAACCGACATATATTCACACATTAAAAATGAAAAACAAATCAACACAATCACAAATCCGCAATCTTCACCACCGCCTTTCTAACATTCTTTCCCTGCAACATACCCAAAAACGCATCCGGTGCATTCTCAATCCCCTCGGTAACCGTCTCATGATACCGAATTTTTCCCTCGGACAACCATTTGGCATCTCTTGAATAAAACTCGTGTTATATTTTGGATAATAATCGCTCACGATGAATCCCTGGAGCAAGTCTCGTTTGGTGAGTACTTGTAGGAGATTTTTTACGCCGTAAAGTTCGAGGACATTGTATTGTGAGATCATTCCGCAGATGGGAATTCGTGCGAATTGGTTTAGATGTTTCATTACGGTGTCGAGGGTTTCGCAGCTTTTTTTTGTTTTGGTGGTGAATTTTTCATAGTTTGTAAAATTGATTATTTTACGTATGATAAAAAAAACACCCAACATTTTCAAAGTAAATATCAATTCCATTAGGACAAGTTTCTTTTAATTTCTACATTTATATTTCTATTTAAGAATATAAAACAAATTATTCATTTTACAAAACCCCCAAATACCTGTTCAAGATCAACTTTCTTATAATTAAAAGCCGCGTCAATTTCAACTCATTAACGAGAAACTTGACTTTTCGTTACGAACAATCGAGCCAACGACGCGCAATCCTTCGAGTTTGGCCATTTGTCCAACTATTGATCCGACTGCACCGGCTGCAGCCTGTTATTTTCATTTTAATGAGAAGAGCATAATTCGCACTCTCTCTCGTACCTATTTGAAAAAAAATAGTTACTGAAATGAAAATAGTCTCCCCAGCTTTGGGTTTTCCGATTTCTTTTAGTCCGGCATAGGCAGTCATTCCTGGTATACCAAGTATACCGACATAATAACTTAATGGGATTCGCGCCATGGATTCTCGTGCACCGGGTAATGGTGCAAGAACAGTTGTAGCGATGTTCGAAGCAGGAATATATGTATAATGTTCCCATCCTATTCGAAAAGGACAAACTCCCAAATTAACATTCAACAAAAAACCCATTTATTTAATACAATTTGCAAGAAAAAAATGGCACACCAATCATCGCGTAGATCAAATCGCCAACTTCAAATTTATCAGATTTAGATTTAATAACTTCCGAGATGCCAGTGTCCTCCAAGACATGACCAACGTTAAATGCCGAAATATACGAAGGAATGCTGGGATCGCGCATACGACCAAGCATGTACGGATCCACGGACATATATAGATTTTTGACTAGTATGTCGCCGTCAAATAGTTCGTAGTTTTGGATGTCGATATCTCGATGAACTATTTCCATGTGTTCTGTTTTTGAGGGAAACCCGGAGTTTGGAATCTTTTTGAAGATAACACCGATGTTTTTTGTCATTTTTATTGTTTAGGTTGTCTTTGTTTTTTTGTTGAGATGGAGTCGAAATCGGCGTCGTTAGTAAATTTAAAAGCATTATTTTTGTTCGATTAAATTACCTTCGTTCATATTCAATTTGTTTTACTGCTAGCTGTGTTAAAAAAACTAGTTTCCAATTAATAATGTGGGAAGTCAACCTCCTTTTTACCACTCACGAGAATACTCGATTTGGTATTTAATTAATTAGTAAATTCTTTCGTTTTCCGATATGTAATTAATAATAGAATGGTATAAATCATTAGAATGGCACTTATAAAGATAAATTGTTTGGACGAGTCGGTAAATTCCGAATCTACCTATGAATCCCATAATTTTACAAATTGTTCGTATAGTTCACGGTGTCGAGTTCCAAGCAATCCGCGAATATTGTCCAAAGTTTGTCGACGTGATTGTTGACGGTTGTTGTATGCTATTTGATTATAGAAATTTATTTATTTGAATGTGTCAATGAATTATAAATTTCGAAAGTTTTGACTGAAAAATCTACCTTTAACATTTGATAATAGCGAATTAAACTGCCAAAATATAGGATTTTATAATTAATGGACCTTTAATGTCAAAGATCAGCAATGAAATGACTCACTTCTTCATTTGTCAGTAATCCGCGCGCCCTCCTGAAGAATTCACGACCATCCACTGTATTAGAAGATTGTGTTTGTTCTGTTGTTTGATGTAATGATTGTAGAGGTGGTGGTGGCGGTGGCGGTTGTTGAGTTAATTCGTCTTGTTGTTGCTGTATTATTGGTGGTTGACGTTCTATTAATTCTTCATCATAATGTTGCTCTTCTGTAAGTGCACTTGAAATTCCACCAATATTACTACTTTTCCATTTTTTTCGTTCAGATGCAAATGTCACATTTTTTTTTCGTTGTGTGCCACCCGTAACACTTGCACCTGCACCAACACCGAGACCAGCGATACCACTCGTGATTTCACGAACGCCGCCTGAAGATGCTGGTGTAGTAGGTGCACTCGATCGAGTTTGTTGTTGAGATTTAATTAATGGTGCTGATGATGGTGATGTAGTTGTTGTTGCTGTTGGTTCATGATATTTTGATTTGGGAGTTGAAGAAGCTGTTTTCGAGGTTGATATCGTCGTGTTCGTGGATATTGTTGTCGGTATCGTTGAACTATTAAAAAGAAAAATCAATTAAATTACTAAAAAGAAAACCATACAGTTTTTAATCTTTTTACCTTTCTGTAACGCGTGTAACTGGCACTCTTGCATGATAAGACAGAATATTAGATTTATATCTTTTAAATGGATTTCCTATTATCATTATTATTATTATTTCGTATTTAAAATAAATATAATTATTACCGTAGCACTCTGAATATTTAGAGAAACAGAAACAAAACACATACTTAAGTCGCCCACATCTCCTCCGGCGGGACTAACAGATCTGGAATCACTGAATTCCTTCACGAAATATTCAAGAATATAAAACAACAAAAATAAGAAACGAGTTAAGAAATCTAGAAATAAATTTATTCTTACCTCAAATTCACTCATATCAAAAATATGGCGATTGTCCGTACCACCGGCAACGGCACCACCACCAATAGTTGTCGCATTAGCAGTAGTAAGTTCATCCTCGTAATACTCTGCTTCGTCATCTAATAGAATCTGTGAGGTCGCTGCTGCTGTTTCTTTCCGTTGTTGCTTTTTTCATGGAATTGTAACAAAACGAATTAAATCACCGGATTTTTTTATTAATCATATAAATGTTACTTACTCGTACATTATTGAAATCTGAAAGATCATTTTCCTCTAATGAGTCTAACACGTTCTGTCGAAACTGATTAAGACGTGTCACTAATTTCGAGAGATCCGCGATTCTCTTGTCACTATTATTATTGTTGTTGAAGATTTTTGGAATGTAATTACTAAATCGGAATTTTATATAAGAAATATTCTTATTTGATGAAATTTACCTTTTTGCAAGTCGAGCTTCCAATTCCACTATTCGTAATTGAAGATCTTTGCGAAAAATTATTTAATTGAATTTTATGTTTTTAATCGTACAAAATCGCTTTTCACACCTTGAATTTCTGCGTCTCGACGCCGTAGATCTTTATACAACGCATCAATTTCCGTGTCTTTTGTCGCGATCTAACACGAAACAATAATAACAAAAGAAAACTGTGATGAGGTAAGTCCTGTGCTGCAAATGAAAATAATAAAGAAGACGCAGCATCGAAACATCATGTTTTTTTCAAGGTTTGATTATTTTACCTTTTTACGATAAGCATCACGAATTATTCGAATACCTGTCTCAAACTCTTGTTCGGTTGTTAACGGGGCCGAAGAAATAGTAGCACCAAGTGGTGATTGTGTGTGTGGCGCAGTATTCGCGGAAGGGTTGGTAGGATGATTTGACATTTATCCTTTTTGAGGAAAACGAGATAAATTAAATTAATAACTCTTGGATTTCGAATTTCTTTTGGTTACTGTCAAGTGAAGCGATCAGATAAATCGATCAAATGAACGGTGACTGTTGCAAGTAAAAAAGTTACTTGACAAGTTTGATTGATTGCAGTTTATTAACTGATCGGGTGATTGATTAGTACAGTAGATACTGTCATTTTCAATTTGACAGAATAAAACACGCTATTTTACTTGATCAAATATCTGTAAATTAATTTTTTTTTACATCTCACGCGTAAAACAAATCTAGAATAATTAGAATAATCCAATTTGTGCATATCCCAATAAAAAATTCTATTACATGTATTTTTTAATGCATATCCAAATGAATGGATTTTTTTCAATACATATTCTAATGAATGCATTCATTTTGTTCGATACAATGAATGCATTTTTTGAATTTCACACAGGTTTTATGTATTTCACGCAGGTTTATGTATTTCTGAGGTTAAATTACGAATTATGTCAAAATGTACGTATTTTGTGCATATTTTTGATCGAGTGCAGCAATTTTCAAAGAAGTCATGTACGTATTTCTATGCATGTCTTTGACCCGATTAGAAACGAAAAAATGTTTTTTCGAGTGGTACAACTTCGTGGGATCAACAGATAAATCGTTCTGACTGCAGAAGCCATCAAGGTTAATATCATTTGCCGCAAAAAACCAGTTCGTCGATTATTAGGAATCGCTTGGGCATAAAGATGCAGCAGCGACTTATGCATATTTTCCTCATGTGAACAATTTCGTCAAAGACAGCATTTTATGCACATATCATCTGTCGCTTTATTTTCCTTCACGCTAAGCAGTTAATAGTTTCGTGCAAAAAACGCAATAATGAAGATCGCTATAGTATTTCGTTTTATATATCTTATAGTCTACCTAAATAGCGCTGCTCAATAATCGTGTGAAAAGAAAACGACAGGAGAAAATCTGTCCAATTTGGAAACAAAGAACTGGTGTTTGACAGTTACTTTTTGACGGTACATATGAAAAATCACACTTTTTTTTGAATTTATATTAGACACAATGGAGGCTATTTTAAAATTTGGGCGTAAATTATAATTAAGGGGTGGTGTATTGTTTAACTATTGATGTTTAATTACACAAAAAGAAAGAAAAAAGGCAATCGGACAAGTTTTCCATTTCTGTGAGAAATTCATAGTGAAATTTCATGAATTTCATTACCATAAATTGACGAGTTTGATTAGATAATTCAAGTTCATTTTCATAAATAAGGGAATTTATATTAAATTGTTGTGCACCACCATTCAATATTCTATAGTACAGACCATACACGCAATGAATGGGTGCCATGATCATTCGTATTAGAAAATTTTTGTTGAGAAATGACGACGCCAAGTTACAAAGAGTTGTAGATGACGCCGAGTTTCAAATTAAATTAGTCGAAATTGGGTAGGAAGCCAACCAGAGTTATCATGATAGTTGGAAAAAAAACGCCCCCATCAAAAAGATTTATCGCGTCATACTGTGTGCGTGCAACACGGATTCTCGCAGCAGTGCATTATATGTATGCAGTACAGGCGCCACAAAATGAAAAGGTTGTTCAGATAACTGGTTTTTTTGTATAAGTAACTTTACTGTAACTGTATATTACATAATAATAATAATAATAATAATAAAAATAAAAATAATAATAAAATAATAATAAAATAATAATAATAATAAAATAATAATAATAATAAAATAATAATAATAATAAAATAATAATAATAATAGTACATACTTGGAGTAACAAACAAGAATACCATGCATAACGTGCACTTTTAGCTCGAACTTTTTCTTTCCTCTAACGCTAACACAGTTTTGATACTTGGCGGCAATACATCTCCCTTATATTTTTTCTAACGCCACATGTATTCATATCAATTGACTGATTACATATAGTATGCAATTCCCATACATTCAAGCTCCCGAAATAATAACTATATAAATGTCTCTCATCTGTTTTGACAAAAAAAAAGGACAACGATACCTTTTTTTGTTGTAAATAATCATTTGTTCATAAAAAAATCATTTTCCATTTGTTCATAATAATCCATTTGTTCATAATAATCATCTTATAAATAATCATCTTGTAAATAACGTCATCATCATCATTCATCATCAATAAAAGAAGGCAGAGCCTCGGTCAAAAATTATCATTTAATCAAAATATTATGATTATCAATGCTTGTTTGACACCCACAACGTAAATAAAAACAATCAATCAATCAATCGAATCAGTCGAAGCATCATCCCCTTTATATTTTCATTGTTTTTTTTTGAGTAACGGTCTATGGTGCATAGTACAACTACTATTTTTCGTATTATTAATACTATTTTTATTCATATATACTTAACTTTTACACCACCCAAATCTTGATAATTTAGCTGAGACTTTTGTGGAAAAGCCAGCTATTAAATATATAAGTTGTAATAATCTATATATTTTTATTAGATTCACATCATTACAGTTACTCTGTTCTCTTTTCTTTTGTTCAATTTACTCGTTTCCCCCCACGATCTTGAGACTTTATTTTTTTTATTGATTGAAAAAAAGCAAAGAAAGAAATCAAAATTATATACATATATACCTTTTATTTAAATCTTTCATTTAACAATAAACGAAAGAAATCAAAAACAAACCAAAACAACCAACAAAAAATTAGACATTAGAAATAAAAAATGTCTGTTCGTCCACAACTACACATTACAGTCGTTCGCCATGGCGAGACAAACTCAAACTTGAATCATATATTGCAGGGTCATATAGGTATGTTTCGATTGTCTATGTATTTCCACCTTAGCCTAAAACCAGTTTCAATTCGCGAAGATAAATGCTAATTAGTCGTATGTTCTTGATAATATAAAGATACAAAATTAAACAAAGTTGGTCGAGAACAAGCAGATTTGGTCGGAAGACGATTGCGAAAAATGAAATTCGATCATATTTATTCAAGTGATTTGTCGAGGGCAAAAAAGGTAAGAAAGAAGGCCATGTTTTATCGATCAAGTCGCGTGGTGTATTATGGCGTCATCTAACACGATATTTTTTACTAGACTGCAGAAGCAATAGCAAAACATCATCCTAATATACCTTTCTCGGTTGACATGAGATTACGTGAAAAGGTAATTATTATTATCATTCATTCATAAAGTATCAATTGATTTCTAATAATTTTTTCTTATTCAAATTAGGATATAGGCAGGCTAAGCGGTCTCTCAATATACGAAGCACTCGATCTAATAAAAAACGAAGGCTCACAATGGGAAGATTATGGTGAATCAGATGAAGACTTCACCGACAATGTCATATCATTCTTCGACGAAATAATTGATAAACACCTACCAGACACTCAAGATCCCGAATCGATTGAACACCCGAAAAAGGATACACACATACTACTAGTGACACACGGTGGCACGATCAATAAATTCGTGCGCGAGCATATGATACACGACCTAGGGTTCTTGGTGAATGATTATTTGAGTATAAGACATAAAGCTAGGAATACGAGTGTTACGAAGATTGTAGTGCGTCGCGTAATTATTGGAAGTGGTAGCAGGTGTGTTAGTAGAAGAGGTAGTGGTATTGATACTACAAGTAGTAGCGGTGGTGCTACAACTCCATCCTCTGAGAAAAGTGAAGCTTCGACTATCGAGATTATGAGAGATGTTCAACGAAAACCTCGATTAGAAGGTGATATCAATTTGTGGAATTGTGTGTCTCATCTGTCGAAGCTTGGTAAACGGACACGCGGCGATTCCTCAATTGATGATTATGTGCATTAGTATCTGTTAATCAACTCCCCCCCCCCCCCCCCCCCCCCCCCCCCCCCCCCCCCCCCCCCCCCCCCCCCCCCCCCCCCCCCCCCCCCCCCCC